TTAATATAGTAATTAATATAAATTTATAAATGCTTATATATATATATATATGCATTTATAAATTTATATTTATATATATATAAATGCTTATATAACTAATTTTAAAATTAACTACTGAACTTTAAACACATAAAAATACAGTAATTAGTTTAATATGCACATTATCTGTGTTGAAAAGACAATTTGAAGGGGTATGCTAGTTATGCAATGCAGTGGATTATACACCAATTTTAAATTTCAATTGCAAACTCATAACTATGGACAATGGCTGATACAGGTTATGCAAAAATTTTATTTCTGTTCTAGCAATTTTCTGCAATTTATGTTCTTGTATTAGATACACAAAAATATGATTAATTTTATCACAAAATTCTACTACTGGGGCTTTACACTTTGGTCAGGTATTTTTATTTATTATTTAAAAAGTTTTTCAGTATGATTATTGTTTAGATTTTGTTTTCAGTCTGAAAGTAAAAATCAATCACTTTTATTTATATTTGAATTAATGGCTGGTTTTGCTAACTTTCATCATTCGTAATAGTTGGCGTAACTGTGCTTATGATAGATAATGCACAGTTTCAGTTTTCAAAAATTAAATTAATTAAAAATTCAAAAATTAAGATAATTCATTAATTTAATGTTTCATTAAAAAGTTCCATTTCGCCAACATTCTCTCACTGAATTTAACAAGCCACTTCCTAACAGCTTTCTCCCATCAAATTAAAAAATGTAATTAACTTCTCATAGTTCTTTTACTTCAAATTCTTTTTTGTCAAGTCCAACAACTGCAATCATTGCTTAACCAAACTCAAAACAAGTAAAAACTTCAAATTACACAAATGTAGAAAAGAATGTTTTTATTGACTTGATTCAAAAATATAAAAGCATAAATACAAAAAATGTAATTATAAAAGAAAAAACCATGGGTAAAACTTGCACTTGATTTTAACAAATGCAACTATTATTAAAAGAACAATAAAGTGATCACCATTCAAAAGTTCAAAACTGTCTGTTCAAACAGTAAGTATTTTTTTATGGTTCTACATTTTCGATATACAGTAGAGCATCAATTATCCAAATATCAATCAACTGAAAGCATTCCAGTTGGCAAATTTAAATTTCCGCTAGTGCTGTGGCGCTGCAATATTTGACTATGCCTTGGGCTACTCCAATATTATTTTTGTTGGTGTGCGGGTCTTAGCCGGCACACTGGCGCGACCATGAGAGGGTACTTAAGGACGCGCAAGGATTTGAATGAATTTCAACATGGGATAGGTTAATATATTTTTTTGTACATAATCGGTTATCTGAAAAATTGCTTATCCAAACAACCCCAGTCCTGAACTATTTTGGATAATCAATGCTCTACTGTACTAACATACAACAGTTTTGCATTAAACTCCATCATAGTTCAGTAACTTGATTTAAATATTAGAACTTTAAAGATCTGATTTTTGAACCATTAAAATAATGGGTAGTTTAATGCTTCATTACCATTAAGAAGGTTTTATGAAACACTTACTTGTTAATCAGGTATAATGCATATGTTATATTTTAATGAAGTTTTATGAAACTAGTCATAAATGTTCTAAGTAAAGCCTGAATTTTATTAATATTGTAACTTTCAATTGCTAGTAGATCAAATATCAATATTTAAGCCAAATGGCTTTTCACTTGTCTGATATCATTAAGAGCATTTGAAAATGTGAAAAAATCCTTCATATGCTAAAAACGGTCATTTGCTATTGCAATTTTTCTGATAATTCTCCTCTCTTTATATAATAACTTTTAGAAAACTATTCAGAATATTTCGTTTAGAATCTAACTGTTAATATTCTCCTATTTTAATTTGTAGTGCTCTGCCACTTGTTGTTGTTCAGTCCTGCATGTATATATTGCATATATCATTGTACAGTACCTAAATTTGCAGTAGTTTTTTTTCCCCCCTTTTATTTTAGTTTTGTTCATTACTGTATTGGGTTCTTTTTTTTTACGTTATTATATTTTGTGGTCAACATGTGACTTTCCCTTTTCCTGAACCACCTTTTTCACAGGTGTGTAAAGGGAGCCTTGGATTGGTTGCGGACAGCAAAAGTGAGGTATAAATAGAAGGTCCGGGTGTGAAAAAGAAACTTTTTTATTTCTCTTGTTTGGTCCTCTTGTCTTGGTTGGAGCTATTGTGGAGCTATGAAGAAGGCACGTGTGTAGAAGGAAGGAAGCCACTCAGAATACAGGAGAAAGGAAAGGGACTATAATCCAATCCCATTGGAGACTGTTAAGAGAATAACGGAGTGAAGAGAATCGGAAGTGGAAGTATTTGAAGGATCGTCCCGAACATTATTTTTCATTTTTATTCACGAGCGATAACTATTGGGGTGGATGTCCTTGTCCAAGTACGAAATTCTGTGAGTTCATGGTTCTCACTGAACCTTTACCTCTTATTGGTTGATTTTTTTTGTTTGTTTAACCATCGTTATGTGTTAACGTGGAGGATTGGAAAGTGAAGGTATGCGTGCTCTTTGTTCACGGAACACGTGAGAAAAAAGGAGCTCTGCATTAGAGGTTGTATGAGCCCTTTTGTTTGCTGAGCATGTGTTTGTTCTAAATAAATCCTTTTTTGTAAGCTGACTTTTTTGTAGACTAGTAGACCTTGGTCTAGCTTAAAGGTCACAACAAATTCTACACAACAAATATTGATAGATAGACTCTCAAACTACATCAATGATGTCATGGACATTGCAGTTTTTCAAATTTATATTAAAATATATTTTATTACTTTTAAATAAAACAAATAACATGACAATAAACAAAACTTTTGTTGGTATTTGGTATTAGTAGACATTTGTATTTTTGACACAAAGTTTATGAGATTTGGTCTTAGTATTCTGTTTTTCATTTCACTTATTTTATAATTACATCTAAAATGAATCACTAACATAAGTGAAATAGAAAAAGCAATATTTTAATGTTTAAGATAATACCTTTTTAACTGAATATTCAATGTCATATTTTTGAAGGCTGCTCTGAAGGAGTAGTTTATGCAAAGTTTTTATTTCCATTCACCTATAGAATAAATTAACACCTTCACATTTCTGACAAAATTTGTTAAATTTAATGTAAATTAACATTTTCAACTGTCATTTAGAGAACAGAAATGGAGGATACAACACACTTGATGGTGGTTGGCTAAACTATTTAATGTTTTTGGAAAAAATTCAACAACTTTGAGTTGTTGAATTTTTTCCAAAGAGTTGTTCTGAAAACAACTCGAGAAGCAACGCAACAAGATCCAAATGATAACAGAACATATTCAATAACTTCCCTAATTGCTAAACAACAATCATCGAGAACCAAATCTCTAACTCAGGTAATGTGCTGTTCATCAGTTGAAGTGGATGGTCTACCAGAGCATGGTTCATCTTTGATGCATTCTCTGCCTTCCTCGACCATCTTGTACCACTCAAAACCTTTTGTTTTTGATAGATTATCATCATAAAAGGTTTTCACAGCATTTCCAATGTTTATGTAGCAGGATTTCCACTGCAAAATGAAATTTAATACATGTTCTTTGCTCAATTGCACTGAACATTTTGAAAAATCACAAGCACAAAAATTTTTTACAAATTGCTGAATTGCTGTTAGTTGTCAATGAAAGTCATACCAAATGATGATGGCTCACTGTTGCGTGCACACAGTTTAAATGAACCATTTCCAATACTTTTTGATCACAATAGTACTTAATTGGGACCTTCAGTCACTAAACTTTCCATATTTGGTGTTGATTTTCATCTATCTAACTCCATTCTTGAGATTAAAAAAAAGATAGACTTTCAGACAGACAACAGTGGAAATTTACACATTCCATTTATGAGCTACAATTTGAAAAATGCAGCACATAAATGGAATTAAAATTGTGTGAACAAATAAAAAACATTCCATATGTCATGCTGTTCTAAAAATATATAATTATTTTACTTGTCAAAATTCACTTTATAACAATGTAAAGAGTAATGAATTTATAGCTTATTACAGTAGTTTCCAAGCTTTTGTGGCTTTCAGCTCTCTTAACCTGTATATATTTGCCCAAACATAAGTCAATGATTTTCTGAATTTTAAGCCTAAAAATCCATTCTTGACTTATATGCATATATTCAATCTCAACTCACACAGTAACTGCAATATTTACTCCAGCATTTGATTTAATAATCACACAAATATTATTTTGACCCTATTTAGGGGCTTTCCTCATGTAGTAGGTCTGTTTCATCAAACTAAACAAATACAGAATAAAATTAAAAAGCATTCTACAAGAACATTCCATTGGCATAGTGAGATAATTTGAAAAGAACGTTTCCCCATGGAATTTAAAAGGAACTGTATGGGAGAGGAAGAACACCGGTTACAGGCAGTGAAGTGAGGTAATTTATCATTTCCAGTGTTATAATTTCTATATAGTTTATCTAATTAGTGATGCCGGCTAATAACTATCAAAGAACGCTCGTAAGCCTTACTAAGGCCAGAGCGAGATGGGAATTCCT